AAAATCTTTGGTAAAGTATTATTAAAAAAAAAAAAAAAACATAGAATTTACGAGTATTTTTATTTTAAATAGTTCTTATTTTAACAAACAAAATTAAATAAATCCCTTAACATTACCTAGTAGTTTGAGGGTGCCATAAATCATGCATGATTATCCGCGGCTACAATCATGGAGATGACCAAAATGATAATACCTTACTGTGCCAATTTATCCACTTACAGCTAGCTGTGGCATGCTTATGCTTCACGTGCATAAATTCCTCTCAAAGGAATTGATACCATTTTTTCTTCTGTCCACATTTGCAAGTCTTTTGATTAAAGGAGATAAATATATTAATTAGCAATTAAAGAATGCTTTATTAATCCTGCTCCCGGAAGTTTCCAGGCGGGTCTTAAATTAGGTCCCACATGGACTTCACGGGTTCATTTTCAATATTATGTGGGTCTCCTGCTGAGTCCTGTTATCATTTCATATTCAATAATACTATTGGATTTGCATGAATGATTACAATAATGATAAAATAACGTACAGATAGATTCATACATGATTTTTTTTCTTTCAATTCTCTGTACACATTGGTGAATTGATGTCTTATAATATAGACTGAGTAATTAATGGTTGAGCTTTGTCAAAAGAAGGGACCTCCCCAAAAGTTAATTTTGTTTTGTTTGAAAATTTTCGTGTTTTGTCGAGATTATGCAAAATTAATAAATCTCGTCTTTATTCCCGAAGGTCGTTGAATGATTAATTGATTATACTGCTGCATACCCATTTAAATATTGGATAATTAGTTATAAACTACAAATATTGCAATGTAAGAGTATTTTAAGATTTTATATGTTATTAGATTTATGTCAATAATAATTAATTAAATTAGATATCTCTAGTTTTTTTTATCTTAGTTATGATTAAGATAAATGTTACATATACAGTACAAATTAATTATATAAATTATCATCTACAAACCGATATAATAACTCTGTATGTTTGACATATAATATACTCTAATTTATTTGGCATACAAAGTGTTATAAAATATCCTTTCACCTAATTCTAAATGAGTTCAAGATTACCACTATCAGAAACGCATTGAGGCAGTTCTGTTAGTCCCTCGAAAGTTACAAATACGGAAACAAATCACATTTCTCAATTCTCTCCTTTACATTGAATAGGGTCTGGAAAGCTGAACAGAAAAAATGAATGCAGATTTTACAAGGCGGGAAATGCCTTATCAGGGGTGATGGGGCCTCATATGATCATATCTCATACACCAACCACCTGCAACTTCCATAGATCATCGTCAGGATGTATCAGTTTTCAGTCAAAATGATAAATATCCCAGAGAAAGTAGTATGACATGTTTGGCTCATTTGATTTACTACTCTAATGCTTTTTAAAGTAGTATTTTGAAAAAAATAAATTTGGGTTATCTTTATAAGGAAAGTAATTATTAATATTTTAAAAGTTAAATAAAATATAATCAAATTTTGTAAATATTGAAATAAATGTATTTTTTAGTTTTTAGGATAGTATAATGGAATATGATATGATAATAATAGTGAGCCAAAATGACCTCTATTTATGGAAGACAGATAAATATTACACTGCTTATAAATTAAACTTTCAATATATATATTAAATACTATACATAGGAATTTGAAATCATTGAGGTTAAGCATTAATTTTATATGAATTCATGATTGATGAAAAAATGTAAATGATATATCAAGTAAATTTAGATATTTTACGTTGTTAGAATTTAAAATTTTCAAATTTATAATCATATTATTTTATCCATGACGGTTTAATTGGATGATCAAACTTGTGGTTTGTTCCCATAAAGTTTGGGTTTGAGTCCCCTCAAAAACACCCACATTATTAAAAGTTATTATTTCTCAGTTCCAAAAAATTGCAAGTTTGATAGGGACTCTAGTTTCAAAACCGAAGCAAATGTTGGGGGATTTTTAGAAATTAAACTCATCAGCGAAATTATAAAAAAAGTAAAACTGTAATTTTTATTTGCCCAAAATTTATGAATCACACACTAAAAAAAGAATCTATAAATGCACGTTTATTGATGAATTAAAAAGAGTTGATTATGAAAGCATAAACTATAATTATATTTTATCTTTTGTTTTAGGAAATTTCCAGGAATTTGATGCCTCTTAAAGTGGTGGGGTTATGACTCTCCGTTTCTGCATTTGTCAAGTTCATAACATGCTAATAATCATACATATATTATCGCTGTCACAGAAGACAGCCACAAATTCAAAATTTAAAAATGAAAAATCAAATCAATAAATTTTACCGNACATGTTTGGCTCATTTGATTTACTACTCTAATGCTTTTTAAAGTAGTATTTTGAAAAAAATAAATTTGGGTTATCTTTATAAGGAAAGTAATTATTAATATTTTAAAAGTTAAATAAAATATAATCAAATTTTGTAAATATTGAAATAAATGTATTTTTTAGTTTTTAGGATAGTATAATGGAATATGATATGATAATAATAGTGAGCCAAAATGACCTCTATTTATGGAAGACAGATAAATATTACACTGCTTATAAATTAAACTTTCAATATATATATTAAATACTATACATAGGAATTTGAAATCATTGAGGTTAAGCATTAATTTTATATGAATTCATGATTGATGAAAAAATGTAAATGATATATCAAGTAAATTTAGATATTTTACGTTGTTAGAATTTAAAATTTTCAAATTTATAATCATATTATTTTATCCATGACGGTTTAATTGGATGATCAAACTTGTGGTTTGTTCCCATAAAGTTTGGGTTTGAGTCCCCTCAAAAACACCCACATTATTAAAAGTTATTATTTCTCAGTTCCAAAAAATTGCAAGTTTGATAGGGACTCTAGTTTCAAAACCGAAACAAATGTTGGGGGACTTTTAGAAATTAAACTCATCAGCGAAATTATAAAAAAAGTAAAACTGTAATTTTTATTTGCCCAAAATTTATGAATCACACACTAAAAAAAGAATCTATAAATGCACGTTTATTGATGAATTAAAAAGAGTTGATTATGAAAGCATAAACTATAGTCATATTTTATCTTTTGTTTTAGGAAATTTCCAGGAATTTGATGCCTCTTAAAGTGGTGGGGTTATGACTCTCCGTTTCTGCATTTGTCAAGTTCATAACATGCTAATAATCATACATATATTATCGCTGTCACAGAAGACAGCTACAAATTCAAAATTTAAAAATGAAAAATCAAATCAATAAATTTTACCGAGACATTAAATCAACGAGTTAAACATTTTGAGTCCTCGCGGCAAAGTAGCTTAAAATAATAATAATAATACTTAAATATACTTCCACATTTATATGTGAGGTATAGCAATGGCAAATATATTTTAAATTTAAATACAAAAATGTGAGAAAATTGTTAGGATATAGATCGAGTGGCATTTATCACAAACACGTGAGGTACATGTACGGGTACTTGTATGGATGGGGGCCATTTGATGGGTTTATTATCTCCAATATGATGGGACTGGTTGTAGTCCAGTCTGACACGTGGCCTAACAGCTGTCCCCATTCCCCAACGTTAGGCAATCAATGCCCAAACCCGGAATTACCTTTTTAATTATTTACTGATTAAAGTTTGATTGTCTAAATCTGGTGATTAGATTTCCTAGTTTGGTTTACGTTGAATGTTAATTATGACAATGAATCATGTAAATAATTAAGAAATAAAAAGATAGTTTTTTAAAGTATTTTTGTTCAATAATTAATACCATTTTTTTTAAAATTACCCATAAGATAAGATTGATTTAACAATAATTAACGAGCTATTTTCCTGAATTTTTTTAATTAATGGGGCATTATTTTTTATTAAATACGTTGGAAATAACCGGATTCATCGAAGTCAAGAAAAGATAATGAGAAAAGAAACGTTTGTCACAAAAGCTGTTGTTGCCAGCTAATAAGCAACAATATACGAATGCAAACACAGTTTATTAATTTTTTTTTTTTTTTTTTTTTTTTGATATTTCTCTAAATGTAAGTAACGATCGTATATTATGTGTATAATTCTCTGCCATATTCCCTAGCTGCAGACCACCTTCAGTTTCATTCTGCAACAATTTGGTTCATGTCACACTTAAAATAATTGGATGTTTATTAATTGAACATTGTAGAGATTAAATCTGATTATTATTTTCTTAAATTTACATAATCATATGTCTCACGTTGAGCTGAAAGCGGGAAAATACCCGCAAAACAACAATGAAGATTGAAGTGGGCATTTGAGAGAGATGTATTAGTAATGTAGAAATGCCACAAGTTTTAATTTTGGTCAGAAAGAGACAGGCCTCCTGACAAATGCCTCACTTTTATTTTATATCTTGTATTGTATTTGTATGCATCTTATAATTCAATTTCAGCCTAGTAATATTGGTTCGAGAGATTAGTTTTAAATTTATAAGACTGGTTTTAACAAATGCTCTTTGAAGATTTGACTTAATTTCACCAGAATCTCCGTTTTTGAACTTGACTGATGATATTAGGATGGTGACCCAAATGCTAAGGACAGAAGAGCATGGAGATACATGTGATATAGTTTTGATAAAGCTGACTGAGGAACTTGTCAACTGCCTAATTTGTAAATAAAATAACTGATCTAGTAAACAGTAAGAAAGCAAAAGTAAAAAAAGAAAAAGGAAAAAAATAAAAAGAATCTTTCAAAGTATTTTTAATAACTTAATTAATTAATCACTGTTAGAATTATATTTCCTATAAACAAAACAAAACAAAAAAGTTTTACTTCATGCAGGAATAGTATGTTTCTCTGAGGCTCCGCAAAAGTTTATGAATTTTCTCCATATAGTTTTTGGAAATAAAAATATTTTGTTTAGATTAAACAATGAAACATTCTTAAATTTATTGTGTTCATTTTCCAAGAATAAGTTATGAGATAGGGGGGCAGGGACCAACATACATATAAGTTATAACTAATGGAGCAGCTCTGCCTCTACTGAGAAGAGAGGTTGAAGACTACAGAGCTTCTCTTTTCCATAATTATTACTCACTCTCTTGCAAACTTTTCTCTCTCTCACTTTATTGCTTTTGTTTTGCCTTCTCTCTTTCTTGACCATTCTCTGCTACAAAACACAGACTTCACACATATTCTATATCATTTAAAACAATATTAAGAAATTTTAGAGATGGAGTTTGATCTTGAGAACCCATTCACAAGCTTGGAAGAACAACAATCTGATAAAATTCCCCATCTCTTTGCCTCTGAGTCTGATCACATGCCCTCACAAAAGTTCATACAATGCTTGAAATTTACTGATTTTTATCCCTCCTTTCGTCACGAAGCTGTGTCTCTCATTTTGCTGGTAAAAGTTGAGCCATAACTTGTATAGCTAGCTTTTTAACTTTGGAGATCTCTCTCTCTTTTTCATTTTTTTTTTCTTGTTACCTTTTGTAACTTGTTTTGGTTGGGCAGGCACAATTTTCCGGCAACTTTGAGCCATCCATTCCCTACCTTGCCGTCACTTATTTGGACCGGTTCATCTCCCGGCAAGAAATTCCGGTAAAAAGAGCTATAAAACAATGCTTTTGGTGGTCTTTTTTTTCTAATATATACATATTTTTATTGAATATGGCGCTTGTTTTTTTTTTTTTTTTTGTTATGTTCTGTTTTATTGCTGCAACTTTCGTACAAAACCAAAACAAAATATGTTTTTCTTTGTAAATAATGCTTCATTAATCTGTGAACAAATTGTTGTGAAAATGTTAACACTTTCAGTGAAAGTTTTAGTTAATCTTGATCTTGCAGCAAGGACAGCCGTGGGTTTTAAGGATTCTTGTAACCTCTTGCATTTCTCTAGCAGCAAAGATGAAAAATACCCACTTCTCACCCTCTAAAATCCAGGTAAAGTTTTCACTTTTTAGTTAATTTCGATATGTTAATTCAAAATATTGCAGTGCAAGAGCCGCTCAGGCAAATTGTTTAGAAAATTGAAACAGAGAGAAGAAGGATTCATATTTGATGCACAAACGATTCAGAGGATGGAGCTTCTTATTCTTGATGCTTTAAATTGGAGAATGAGATCAATAACACCTTTCTCATTTCTGTGCTACTTCATTTCTTTATTCAAACTCAAAGATCCTCCTTTGACACAAGCTCTAAGAGATCGAGCCACAGATATCATCTTTGATGCTCATAATGGTAATTAATTAGCCTAAACTCATTAGTATTCTTTTTTAATTATGTTTCTGTGGAAATTAGCGCAAACCCATATTAACATATTTTGTTTTTGTTTTAGAAATCAAGTTGCTAGAGTTCAAGCCATCTGTAATTGCAGCATCAGCACTTCTTGTGTCTTCTCATGAGCTATTCCCTTTGCAGTTCCCTTCTTTCAAGACTTCAATTTCATCTTGTGAATATATAAATAAAGTAAGTAGGAAGTTTAATGAATACTGAATAGTTTTATTCCACATTGTTCCCCATTTTGTTTACTTTTAACTTGACTTGTGTGGTGCTTTTGTTTTAGGAGAACCTGTTACAATGTTTTGATACAATGCAAGAGATGGTGGCGATGGAGGCGCACGAGTCAGTGATGGATACAATGTCGAGCACAGGAACTCCAATAAGTGTTCTGGATTGCAAATGCACCAAATCGGCAAGTGAGAAAATGGACAGTAGTAGCAGCACCACTGCAACTTTCAGGCCGGAAAAGAGAGAAATCAAGAGGCGTAAAATAAGTGGTTTTTGTAGTGAAAGCAGGTTCCAGCTTTCTCGTATCCAACAGTGTTAGGTTATAATGAGAAAAAGAAATTGGTCTACATTTCAGCATATTTTTACCACCGAAAGAGAAAAGCAATTGATGAGCATGATTTGAAGCAGCAGATATTGAAGGCTCACCAAGAGAACAGTAAAAAATTGAAAAAAAGAGAAATAAATTGGTTCCATGAGGGACAAAAAGCGGCTTCAGTGTTGAGTCTCCCATCATTGTTTTGTGCTTTTGTTTTGGTTCAAGTTAATTTGGTTATGTCTCAGTGTCCCTTGCTTGGTAACAGCGAGGGTACAACAAATGCTTCAATAAGATAATAATTTTCTTGAAAACGCAAGAAATGGTGTACACATAGTCAACGCATATAAGAAATTGAACGAAAGCATAAACAATTATATCATCATATCAAGAAAAAAATTGGCGTGTGAGATTTAATTATGTGTTGGTTGGACTAAGAGAGTGGAAGCTACAACGTCCAAGGCACGTAGCTTCGTTAAAGATTTTAGTATCTTTGTCGAAGATAGAAGCCATTTATGTGCTTGATAGAAATTCAAGTCATGAATAACAAATGATTTATGTAACTTGTGATCTTCTTTCTTAGTTCTTTTGAACTTATGTGTTTAATAGCATAGCTTGGACTGTTTAGTGTGTTTTGTTGGGGGGATATATGGGACAACTTTGAGTAGCTAGATGGTCCTTGTACTAAAAATTTTGGGCCACTGTGGAGTGTAAGGTAATATGAGAAATCAGAACTGGATATGTGATTGTCAGTGCGGTTTACCTTGAATGGTAGCATCTTATTTTAGGACTAACAAGGAGAGAGTATAAAATATTGATTGTATATTTGATTTACAAGCTTGGTCAATATATACATGAAAGCTGTACTCTTTTACTAAACAGAGATGCCTAAATACAAGGAAGAGATAAAATAAACTTTTGAATGTTAAACTAATTAGAGGAGATTTGTGGAGATAAAGCAGAATCAGAGTTTGTTGAAACTACTGTAGCTTAGCCACTTGAGTCTGGGGAGAAAGAGATGACGCCATCTGATGAAGATTCTCTAACAGGCCCTCGCAAGACGGTGCTCCCATTGAAGACACTGATGTTGGAGCGTAATTTGTGAAATGTGATAGACAGTAGGGGCTTAGTCAAGGCATCAACAAGTTGGTCTTTGGATGAGATGTGAGACACTATGAAAGACCTTTGAGCCACTTGGTCACGAACAAAATGGTAGTCGATAGAGATGTGCTTCATTCTTGAGTGAAAGACAGGATTGATGGAGTGATAGGTTGCACCAATGTTATCAAAAAAAAAAAAAAATTCGGCAAAGTTGATAGGCAATCACTATGTAACTCAGTAAGTAAATTTTTAAGCCAAAACACCTCAGCAGCATAGGATGCAAGAGCTCAATATTCGGCTTTCGTTGACGAACGGGCAACAATTTTTTTCTTTCTTGGAACATCAAGACATTGTTACCACCGAGATAGACAATGTATGCAGAAGTGGATGTGCGATCATCACGATTGGCCGCCCAATCAGTGTCTGTAAAAGCCGTTACACAAAGCTTTTGAAGACATTTAAGAAACAGACCATGATGTATGGTAGCTTTTAAGTAGCATAAAATTCGTTTGGCTGCTGACCAGTGAGTCTCAGTTGGAGAGTGTATGAATTGTGCCAGTTTGTTGACTGCGTAAGATATGTCAGGCCGAGTGAGGGACAAATAACAAATATTGAAGGGCACCAAGAACTTGACAAAACTAGGTTGCATCGGTGGATAAAGAACCGACATGCAGCTGAAGAGACTGAGTGGAAGACATAGGCGTACTGCATTCTTTTGCTCTAGACATTTTTGTCCATTCCAATAAGTCTCTTATATATTTGTGATGGCTTAAGAGATGCCCAGACTTGGTTGGTAGAACTTCAATACCAAGAAAATAGTGAAGATCACCAAGGTCCTTGATAGAAAAGCAAGATGCAAATGCTTGCAAAAAACATGTGAGAGTCGTGTTGTCATTGCCGGTGACAATCAAATCATCTACATAAACAAAAAAATAGAGAGTAATACCACTATGATGATAGATGAAAAGCGAAGTGTCACTGTGTGAATTAACAAAACCATAGGAGATTAAAAAACCTTTGAGCTCATTATTCCATGCCCTTGGAGCCTATTTAAGACCGTAAATGGCCTTCCATAATTGGCAAACAAAGTGCAGATTGTTTTGATCAATAAAGTCTAACGGTTGCTGCATAAAGACTTCTTTAGACACTGTTCCATGAAGAAAGGCATTGTTGACATCCAATTGACGTAAAGGCTAATCATTGGACAAGGCGAGAGATAGTATTAGCCTAATGGTCGTTGATTCAACAATCGGACTAAAAGTTTCATGAAAATCAATACTAGGATGTTGGTGATACCTCTTGGCAATGAGACGGGTTTCGTACTTTGAGATTGATCATTGGGGTGTCGTTTAATCCGAAAAACCCATTTGCAGCCAACTATATTTTGAGAAGGAGAAGGAGGGACAAGTTCCCATGTTCCATTGCAAAGAAGTGTCGTAAGCTCATCGGACATGGCGTGACGCCATTCAACAAATTTAATGGTCTGGGTAACACAGGTGGGTTCAACAGAGGCAAGAAGAGGATGGTTTGTAGTTGCATGATAGAGACGTTTGGGTTTGAAAATGTTATTTTTAGAGTGAGTAGTCATGGAATGAGAGGAAGTTTGTGGAAGGGTGGGAGAGTTTTGTAGCATAGGATGGGTTGTGTAGGTGTCTAGTGCTGGTGAATACTAAGGAAAGAGGACACAAATATGAGTTGAGGGAAAAGTTCTACTTCATTGCAATTAGCATTTCAATTTTATGCAACAATTTGCTCACTACTACACCAACTAAACAGTACATTTACAGGTTTGAAATTTAAAAACAAGGTTTATAACAAATACACCTTAATCACAGCTGAGCACCTATACATATCATCAAAAACTAACAACTTCAGCAACTCCATTCACGACAAACAACTAGGCAGACAGAGAGCTCTTTTGGTGACAAAAGATTTTCAAAAATCAACTGAATTTTCAGTTAAATTTCCAGCAAAATATCACTGTTTTAACACTCCTCCATGATATTTTTGCTAGAAACACCAAGTCTGAGCCTAAAGTCTTCAAACTTGGTTTTGGACAAACCGTTAGTCATGATATCAACCACTTGATCCTTACCTCTACAATGAACCAGCTTTACTTCCCCTTCTTGGTCAGCTTCTCTAACCGCATGGAACTTGATCTTTATGTGTTTAGTTCTTCCATGATGAACTGGATTTTTAGCTATAGCCACAACCGATTGATTGTCACACATAATTGCAGTAGGATTTCTTTGCTTCAACTTCAAATCTTCCAAAATTTTTCCTAGCCAAATAGCTTGATTCAAAGCAGCAGCAGCCAAAATGTATTCTGCTTCTGCTGTGGATTGAGCCACGATTTCTTGCTTTTTTGAGAGCTAGCAAATTGCACCACAATTCAGGAAGAAGGCATACCCTAAAGTGCTCTTCATGTCCTCCATAGAACCACCCCAATCACTATCAGAAAATCCCACCAATTCAAAGTTTTCTGACCTCCTAAACCATACTCCAAAGTTAGTGGTACCTTTTATATATCTTAACACTCTTTTTGCAGCTTTGAAGTGTGTTTCCTTGGGCTGATTCATAAACCTAGACAGTAAGCTTGTAGCAAACATTATATTAGGTCTGGTTGTTGTTAAGTACAACAAACAACCAATCAAACTCCTATACTGCCCTTCATCAACATTTTCTTTATCATCATCTTTTGACAACTTTTGATTAGGAACCAATGGAATGTTCATTGATTTGCAATTCTTCATATTGAATTTCCTTAAAACTTCACTTGCATACTTCTCTTGGTTGACAAAAATTCCACTTGAACTTTGATAAACTTGCATCCCAAGAAAGTAAGACATTTCCCCTAAATCTATCATCTCAAACTCATCAAGCATGGATTTCTTGAACTCCTCCAACTGAGTTGGTTTACTCCCTATCACAAGAAGATCATCAACATACAAAGAGATAATTATCACATCTTCATCAACCTCTCTAACATACAATGTATGTTCATTTGGACTTCTCATAAAATCCAAGCTCAATAAGTGATCATTGATCTTGCTGTACCAAGCCCTTGGTGCTTGTTTCGGGCCATACAAGGCTTTCTTTAGGAGATAGAATTTGTCTTCTATTCCTATGATCTTGTATGCTTTCGGCTGTATTTCTTGATTTAGCCATCCATTGAGGAAGGCTGATTTAATGTCCAACTGAAATATTTTCCATCCAAACTGTGCTGCCATTGCAAGTAATAATCCAATTGTATCATGCCTAGCAACTGGTGCAAAGGTGTCCAAGAAGTCAATTCCATATTGCTGAACAAAACCTTTGACAACCAACCTAGCTTTGTGCTTAAGGATTGAGCCATATGGATTGAGTTTCCTCTTGAAAATCCATTTAACTTATTTTACTTTTATGTTCTTAGGTCTATCTACCAGTTTCCAGGTTTGGTTCTTCTCAATCATTGCCAGCTCCTCCTTCATGGCAGCTCTCCAAGCCTCTGATTTTGCTGCTTCAAAGTAGCTTGTTGGTTCAAGTGAAGCCATGTTGCATCTCTCATAAACCTCAGCTAAAGGTCTGGTGCCTTTAACTGAGAGTTCCTCCTCTGCATCACTCTCATCATCTTCAAAAATACGATCACTACTAGCTTCTGTCCATTTTGGTCTTCTCTCTGTTAGAGTAGGTGCCCTAGAGCTAATCAATTATTGTAGAATTGACTCTTTGTAGTAATGTTCATTAATCAATAATAAAAGGCATTTTATTCTATATCGCGTAAATCATTATTATTGCAATATGTATTGATATATGTCCTTAGAATGGTAGAACCGTGACGAGGGTATCAAGTGTTTCAAATCTTGATAGTGAGAACCCTATGAGCACATGTGGTGGCCATTCTAGAAACGTCCGTAGCCCCAGTATTATTCTGAAGTAAGGGCACAGATAATACGGTAAGGCTATCATAGTGTTGAACGACCCTGTCGAAAGGCAGTGACTGATCTCACTTGTCAAGGTTGTTTGGTGACAACCTGGTGCAACACATGGGTGCTTGTTGTAGGCGGATATACCGCAGCAAGTTCACTGGACTGACCCACCAGAGGATTCCATATGGATGGTAACCCCAGTGTCTATGGAACAAATCCTCTAACGAATGGTGGTGCATGTGATCCTTAGACTTGAGATCACCGGAGCGCCTTGTGCACCGATTGGTACAGTTTGACACTAG